TATGCAGTCGTACCAGATAATGTTATTCCAGGCATCATTGACCTTAATCTTATTATTGGATGGGATGTTATTAGTCGACCTTGTTTACGAATTGTAAAAAACGATTATGAGCTCGAGTTACACCATAACCTACTCAACATTTCGAACGTATTGACTTTACAAAGTGTAAATAATAATAATAAAATTGTGATTAACAAACTTGATTTAAAAGAGAACTTAAAAATACGGCTAGAGAATCTCTTACTGTTATATAAAAATAAAACTTACGATCATATTACCGCCGGTGAAATGACAATAAAGTTAAAAGACAATACTCCAGTGGCATATCGTACTCGTAGGTTGGCATACCAAGAAAGATTGCAAGCAAAAAAAATAATTAATGAACTTTAAAGAGCGAGCATAATTCGTGGAAGTCGTTTGTATCAAAAAAAGTGGTGAGGTTCGAATGTGTGTTAATCTCCGTGATGTCAACAAGAAGATATATAAAGAAAGATACCCATTGCCTCATAATCAAGATCAGATCAATTCTCTCTGTCATGGAGAATACTTTACTACATTAGATATAAAGTCTGGATTGTATTAAATGCAAATTGAAGAAATATCAAGGCACATCATGACTTTTGTTACGCCAGATGGGCATTATGAGTTTAATTACAAAACCTGGAGTAAGCCTGAGACACTGAATATCTTGGTTTTTTTTAAGTGCAGTATCAGAGAGGCCTAGTCATTGAAGCGCCTATTTCGACATATGTTAGAAGTGTAAGACAGTCTATGGACTTGCTAGCTATTTTCGATGGTTCATTAAATGATTTTAGAATTAGCTACACCAATAAAGGCTTTGTTAAGTTAAAAGAAAATAAATGGACTATCGTAATTCCTGCTATAGAAGATAATATAAATTCTACAATTCATTCAATAACGGGTCAGGCACCTAAAGTGTAGAATCATGCCACAAATCCAAGATTATTGGCTACTTGGCAATTTTTGGGAGATGCGCCGCCAACCGATAACTTTGTCGATCCAGACAAGGCCGTAACCGACGCTCAAGTACGTTTGGAAGAAAGAGTCAAGAAGCGATCTCAGCACTTTGTATTTGTTTATTATTGGGGACCTTGTGGCTATAGAAGATTCTCAGCTTGCCATTTACTGTTCATGCAGTACTACCCAATGACGGATATGCGCTACATAAGCAAGGGCGGCGGACCACTGTTGCCGCTCATGAAAAATTACATCCATGGCCTTCCAATAAAAAACAAAAAGTGTTATGTCTAATAACAAAGTTATACTTGTGGGTTTTTAAAATATTAATTATATTGATTATATACAAAATATTTGTTGATAAAACAAGGAAATGGAAAACGATATTTTCTAACAGAAGAATTCACCATTTGAAAATTTGAGACAATTGGTCCCACTTAAACAAAATTGAAATATTTTTTGATTTTCACAAAATTGAAAAGAAATAATATTTAAATTAAGACACTATGAAACTGCTGTTTTAATGAAATAAATTTACAAAAACAAAACATGATTATGAGAGCTTTGTATTCTTGCAACAGATGATCCAGGATTGTCAGAAACATTAGTTATCTCAATATTAATTTCTTCTAAATTTATTTATTCTTGAATTTGGATATGAAGTAAATTTCCAAATATTTAAAAAATATTAGAATCCGTTATGTAATAATTTTAGTAATATAAATATTTTGTATAAAATTCTTATTTGTAGGGTTTCTATTTTTAAATGAAAATAAATTGATTAAATTATTAATTATTTATATTAAAATTGTTTATTTAAAATTTGAATGCATCACTGCAGTAAGTTACCAAGAAATATTACCAAATTAAAAGATTTGTAAGAAAATCTCTGGCATCAAAAGAGAACAAACAAATTAAAATCGTTTATTTTCAGTCACGTATATCAGCATATCCAATCAGCTCTGACTTACACACTGATAAGTTTCCTAGGGGTATTATCACTTAAGTCAAGTTTGCACTACACAACCCATTATATATGAACTATTACGTCTATTTTTTATTCCGCTATATGATAAAACTTAAAATTGGACGTTTAATAACTATTTTAATAATTATTTATTAAAAAAGTTCACGCAATAGAGACAGTAATTCATGACTTTTTACCATTTTATTATCAATCAGTATTTTAAACGAACGTTAACCTGGTGTACTCCTCAAATGTACCCCATAATTATGTAAACCAGGTTAAATAATATGACATTTCTAAAAAGTCAAACTTTTGACATTTTCAAATTTATTTATTTTTAAATGACTTGATTTAGTAAAATAATTAATTTAACTAATTAAATTCCGTTAACAGTAAAAAATATACAGTGAGCATCATAAGTATTACCCTCCCCCTATCTAACTCGTTACTGGAGTCTTGTTAGGAAAATCGCCGAGACACGTCGATTTTTGATATCTATAATGTACATTTTTGTATGATTATTTTACCCTTAATTTCATTCCTTACTGAAAGGAAGCAACCCTTTCAAAAAATTTAAATTGCATGGGGTGGTAAGTGATAGCTCATTTGAACGGGGGTTTTATTTTCTATTCAACCGTGCAAAAAATTTTGAAATTTGCCTCATTACGTGTTGTTTTATTAATGTTTAAAAATAACAAAATATCACAAACCGAAAAGCAATTAAACTAACAGTGAAAATTTTTCCAAAGGGGTTGCTCCCCTCCAGTAAGGGATAAAATTAAGGTTAAACTATTTATACAAAAATATACATTGTAGAAATAAAAAATCGACGTGTCTCGGCGATTTTCCTAACAAGACTGCAGTAACAAGTAAGACTGATGATGCTCACTGTATGTGTTGAAATTATTTATACAATTTAAAGAAGTTAGAAAATATGTGTTAGATGCAAATATGGAAGTATAGAAGACCTAACTTTGATACTGAAGGATTGGGCAGTAGGGGAGCCAGCCCAACAGTGAGACAGGTCCTACAGTGAGACACTGTCCTTCCCTCACTTATCACGCGACCGACTAGGTTTTCCATTGGTGAGCAGAAACCTAATTTAGCAACAAGTATTCTCCGACAGTGTTGAACACGCGGCTGGCAGAGATGCACGCGCCGTTTAAATTAATTTAATTTTCACGTGCGTAAGTCAATATTTTCAAGTTTTGTCAGTTCCTGTTTTGGAAGTAAAAGAAAGTATTTTGGTAATCTGCCGAGGTTAAAGGTAAGTGATTTGTATGTAGATTAAAAGAGGGATCATTTTGTCTCTATAAATTTTATTGTATAAGTGAGATTACAAAATGGCTACCGACTACACGTGCCCAACAGTGAGACAGTGTCTCACTGTTGGGCACTGTCTCACTGTTGGGCAAATGCGATCAAATGTTTTTTTTGCAGGCTAAGTATGGATCCAAAGAAAAGAAAAATTGGAAATTGCGCAGAGGAAACAATAAAAGACGCAGTTAATCTGGTCAGAGAAGGAAGATCTTTGAGAAAAGTAGCTGCTTTGAAAGATATACCATTTCAGACATTGGCTAGATATGTCAAAAAAGCCAGAGACGTTGACGACATTAGTCAAATACGGATAAGTCCCAACTACAGTATTAATAAAGTATTTACGTCCGCAGAAGAAGATTCCCTAGAAAACTATATCATAATGGATGAATGCGATCTTTTTTTAGAAGTAATGAAGCATTTTATAAAATATTCTAACAGCTCTAAAGAAAATCCATCGCTTTTAATCTATGACAATGATGAAAGTCATCTTAGTATTCGTATTCTTAATTTGGCCAAAGACAACGGAGTAACAATTCTAACATTTCCTCCTCATTCGACAAATAAGATGCAACCACTAGATGTGGGGGTATTCAAAGCGTTCTCAACATGTTATAATGCATCTGTAGATACATGGATGATGCAATATCCAGGTAAGCCTTTCACCCTATATGAGGTAGCTGAGTGCGTCGGCTTTGCTCATAAAAAAGCTCTCACACCGAGCAATATTATAAATGCATTCAAAAAGTGTGGTATATATCCATACGATGCCAATGTATTCACAGATATAGACTTTCTACCAAGCGCTGTTACCGATCGCGATTTAAAAGATGATGTAATCCAAAAAAATCCATCGATCTACCAAGTACATCAACATCAACAGAGAAACTATCCGTGAGTGATAATATTCAAGAAAATATATCGGATATAGAAAATGATGCTACCTTAGACACCAGTATTGAAAATAGCTATCAACAAAACGATAAAAATGGCAAGACTGTCACAGATGTTTTTAAAAGCCCAGACGAATATAAGGGCTTTCTAAAATTGATAAAATCGAAGTGAAAAAAGTAGAAAAGGTCAAGAAACAAATATTTGAAGATAGTTATGAAAGCTCAGAGGAGGAACTTGAACTTGGTTCATCTTCAGGGGATGACTGCTACTATATAATCAAACCAGATGGAATTGAGGAGCTTCATAGAAAGCCTATAGAAAATGATTTTGTGCTTGAGGAATTTCCTGGAAAATTGGAGAAGAAGAAGGTGTATTATGTTGGAAAAAGTCCTGAAAATAAATGTGTCAGAAAAGTATGAAATTTCGTATTTTAGAAAACAAACGAAGGGCACCAGCAAATTTGTATTTCCCAATGTGCCAGATGAAGCTATTGTTGCTTTAAAAGATATCAAGCTCATCATGCCATTCTAATTCCTTGTGGGCATACTAGCCGACAGATAACTTCTTTTACGTTTGAGATAGATTTTGGATTAATGGACATTAGGTAGATACATACCTAGATATTATATTTTTATGTTTACTCATTTTTTTTATGTTCTGTATTTTTTTTTTTGTTTATTTTGGAATTGTCTTCTGTGTTTAATAAATATGATTTATAGACTATGTTCGCAACAATGTATGTCAAAATTATCTTATGAGAATGATATATTAATCTCAATAATAATATCCTCAATAAACTTTTTCAAAACACAACAGCCTAAATAAGATTTTTTGACATGCTAGATTATATATTTTTATTTATTTTCCCTGTCTCACTGTTGGATTTAAAGTCTCTCACTGTACGACATATGTGTCCTACAGCTAGACAAATGCACCTATCTATATTCTTGCTAAAAAAAATATCAAACTTCAAAGTTACAAATATTTCACTTGAAGAGAGATTAATATAAATGTCAACGCCTATGCTGGCGTTTAATTTATCCATTTTGGATGGATAAAAACAAAATTACACTAAAATAAAAAAAAAACTGTCTCACTGTTGGGCTGGCTCCCCTAAATATATATAAAAAAATAATACTGACTCAAAGAATGTACAGTCAACAATTTATGGAATGTACAGTCAAGGTATGGACTTATTAAGTTATTTTGTATTAAATAATTAAGTTAAAATTTTCTGACTGAATACCCCTCGACCAGTGATAAATACCCACAATTTTTTTTTTTCAAATAACTCAAGCTTGTTTCTTAATGTACCAAGCAACGGCTTTCGCTTAATAAAAAAATTATTTAAAATTATCGCTGTCCTTGGGATATTAGTACTGATAATTTGCTAAAAATATATCGATACCTTTTTGCCAGACTATCGTAAGTGCCACGTGGACAAATTTCACTTACGTTAGTCTGGCAAAAATGTATCGATATACTTTTGACTTTGAAAATTAATTGTTTTGTTAATCTGAACACTTCATCTATCCACATTTTATTATCTAATATAGATGTTTCGATAAAAAAAATACCAAATTTGAAACTAAATTAATATTGAAGTTTTAACGAAAATAAAAACTACGCATCCTGCTACAATTTGTTTGACGTTTAAATCTTGTAATACTGTTTTCCAATACGTTATTTTATAAACGATGAAAAACGTTCTGGTTAATATTGACGGATTATTATTGCATTAAAAATACACAGTGTCTAGGTACACGCTAACTTGTACGCAATTCAAAAATTTATATACACGCGAAACGTCTTGACAGAGTAGGTGAGCTGGGTGCGGGTCGTTGGTGTTTACGCCGGTCGTAGCTAGGTATAGATTGAAATTTTTGTGGCGGCGAAGCCGCCACCCTACGAGAAGTCGTTGTTTCGTTTTCTTGTTGTCACGGCATTATTATTATTTGTTCATGTATGTGAAATTTGCTTTTAAGGTTTATAAAATACTACTGTGCTAGTCACGGCGTAAATGAAAACAAACAAGACGCATTCACACAAACACCTTCCACCACAGCAATATGACGTTTTGCGTGTATATAATTTTTTTATTTGTGCACACTTTAGCGTGTACTTTAACCACAACAGCGTTAAAAATAACATACTGGCTAACCGACCGCCGGCGGTGCTTGCATTTGTTGAAAAGAAAACCGTCTTCCGGCGACATGGTCTTTTTCAAACAGGAAAGCCCGCCGCAAATCTAAACTGATTTGTTGATCAGGGCGGCATGCTATCAGTGAATCGAAAAATGCCGCCGGACGATGGTCTACTGTATTTAAAACATTGAATGCCGGTGGTAAGAAAAAATACTTGTAAAATCGTCTACATTTTTGTGGCAAATGATCATATGTCGTACGCGTTTTATTTGTACATCGGTCTCCTTTTGACAGAGTAGATGAGCTGTGTCCAGGCCGTTGGTGTTTATGCCGGTCAGCGTAGCCAGGTATGGATTTAAATTTTATGGTGGCGACGAAGCCGCCACACTACGTCTTCTTCGTTACTTCGTCTTCTTGTTGTTACGGCATTATATTTGTTCATGTATATGAAATTTGCTTCTAAGGTTTATAAAATACTACACCTAGTCACGGCGTAAAAGAAAACAAACAAGACGTATTCACACAAACACCTCCCACCACAACAATTACAAATGATTAGTGTTGTCCCCGATATGTGAGTTTTTTCCGGCGGTATTTAATGTTTCAAATACAGTAGACCGTCGTCAGGCGGCTTTATCAATACTCTGATAGCCTGCCACCCTCATCAATAAATCAGTTTAGATGTTCGGCGGCTTTCTTATATGTGAGAAGACCATACCGCCGGAAGACGGTTTTCGTTTTATTAAATTCAACTACCGCCGGCGCGGCGGTTGGCTAGTCAGTACGTAAAAATAAACTCGTCAGGCACTTGTCTGTTGTCTGCGGGTGGAATGTGCGTCAGTTAGGGATGAACAAAACTGCTATTTTTAAATAACAGTTATAACAGTAATTGCTTTTTCTAAATAGCAGCTTTCAAATAGCTGCTTTTTAATAGCAGTTTATTAAATCATCGCAACATCTAGTTCGACTACTCTGCTTAAGTGTTTACCGGTATTTCATTATTTACTAGTCGATCGGTGATCGCGCTCAAATCTGCTAAGCTGTCTTATAATGTCGAGTTAAATATCAACCGGTGCCGGTGGTTCCCCAAATTGTCAGAATAAATCGACCTAACAAGAATGGTAACAACAAATTAGTCTTTATATACCATCGAGTCCTCTCTGACGCAAGTTTTGTGTTGTGGCTGTTGTGAGTTATTTTCTTAAAACAAATTTATTTGCTGAAAATATTTGTAAGAAGACACAGCATTTTCGTCTAACCATAACTGTTATTGTACAGAAAAATATAAACATCCGTTGTGCACGTATAAAATACGACATTTGCATCAACAACTTGCCATTGTCATCGTCGCGTTACGCGCACCACCCAGTCACAACACAGTCAGAAAGATCGGCGTATCTGCAATCGAAATATTAGTTAAAATGGTAAACTGCTATTTGAGAAGCAGCCATTTGTAATAGCCGATAGCAGTTGAAAGCGCTTAGTTCAAATAACAGTTGTCAAATAGCAGTTTACTCGTCAGTTGTGCGTATGCACTTGTTGTAAAACTGGAAAAATAAAGTCATTATGCAGGTTGAAATTGATTGAGGTATTTGTTTGTGGTTTACACTCAGATAAACAAATGAAATATAGATAAAGAATTTGTTTGAAGCGAATATCTACAATTTCGTCTATTACTTTTTCTTTCGCACAGTCACCACTGTCAACAAGCACCTGGGAATTGTTTCTACATTTTGTGTGGTTTTATATTTCCATGACGTACTTTTAATGTTTTTAGAGTTCCTAGTATTTTTAATTAATTTTATTAGTTGTATGGCTAAAAAAGTAGTATTCAGAACATATATTAGGAGAAGTGGCACGTCGTTTCAAAACATAAAAGTTAAAACGGTTGTAATTAATAAAATTAACAAAAACAATAAAATATAGGGGTGGGTGGCTCAGTGGTAGAGTCTCTGCCTGTGGATCTAAGGGTCCCAGGTTCGAATCCCACCGTTGGCCGGGATTTTTTATTTAATTTAATTATTTAAAATTAATTCTGATGCCTTGGTAGGATTCTCCACTCGACCATTCACTGTTGGGTTCTAATTAACAGTGCTGTTCCTAAAGTGGCGCTGGGAAACAGTAACAACGCCTTCACAAAACACGATGCGAAATAACCTTAGTAATTTAAGCCGATGACACACACAAAAAAAAGATTATTAACATAAAATATTTATTTTAAATATATTTTACACAATGATATGATTTGGTACTCAACCAGGCTTTACATTATTAAATCTGTAATCTCACAATAATCGTTTTAAAGCGATGAATCAGAAAACACTTTGCTTTATAGCCTTGGTTAACTTTGAAATCACGTTACTAAATCCTTTAAAAGGTAATCGGCTATTGTAACGCATTAACGCTAAATCGTTTTGTAAAATAGATAAAAAAAAATTTGACATTAATTTCGGGAATAATTTTTATTTGCTCTAAAATAGAAATTAAGGGAAATTTGTCAACACTTATTATTATACTATATTCACGTTTCAAATACGCCCGTTGTAAACAGAATCACGTGAACACCTAAACAGAACAGGGCCGCATTAAGCTCGTGAACTACGCGAAATAATAAATTTTTGAATTTGTTTGTATTTTAATATTAATAAATCTTAAAATATGTATTGTACAAAATCGGGACCAGGACTGGACTGAGTGAACATTTTAATATAAAAATTCTTTACAAAAACATACCACATTTTCCTTAGACCAAAATAAGTCGATTTAAGTAAAATTACCTTTGTACAAAGTTACTTCGTTTGGGCTCCAGAGGGCCTGGAAGTTACAATTTTTAAATCGTTTTTCCTATATAAATTTAAAACGGCATATGCGATTTTGCTAAAATTTGGTATATTGGTAGAGTTTTATGTGGCAAAAAAATGGTATTAAAGTTTTGTCCGATAATAATACATAGGCGTAAAACTTCATTTTTTAAATAATTGCACCTTTAAAAATTCTAATACCATTTTTTTTTGACACATAAAACCAATATACCAAATTTCAGCAAAATAGCATATGCCATTTTAAATTTATATGGGAAAAACGATTTAAAAATTGTAAATTCAAGGCCCTCTGGAGTCCAAACGAAGCAACTTTGTACTATATGCTATATTTTATTATTAATTAGAAGACATAACAACTTACTTTCGTACATTTAAGGGTTACTTTTTAAAATGAACGTTTTTTTAAAAAGCTTTTTTTAAGACTATAGCTACTGACTTACTTAAATGTATTATTCTGACTCTAATTCTGACATGCTTGAGCTACTACTATCACCAACTGCTATTACAATTGTCAATTTAGGGGTGGGTGGCTCAGTGGTAGAGTCTCTGCCTGTGCATTCAAGGGTTCCAGGTTCGAATCCCACCGTTGGCCGGGATTTTTTATTTAATTTAATTATTTAAAATTAATTCTAATGCCTTGGTAGGATTCCCCACTCGACCATTCACTGTTGGAATCTAATTAACAGTGCTGTTCCTAAAGTAGCGCCCGGAAACAGTAACAAATCCTACACAGAACACGAGGCTAATGGCCTTAGTAGTCGATGCAGGTAATACCAAATTAAAAAAAAAACACTAAAATATATAGAAAACGTTTTATAAATTATGTTTTATTTAATTCTCATCTTGGTCCGTCTTCAAGAAAGTTATACGAGTAAGTATTAATTAATGAAACGGAGTTTCAATTATGTAATGGAGGCCCCACACTCTCCGATATGACATGCAGGCCAAAACACAGTTCTGATCTAAAGGCAAGATTTAATCAGC